CGCAACCCTCAGGGGTGCGTTCCACAAAATGAACGCAACCCTCAGGGGTGCGTTCCACAAAATAAACGCAGCCCTCAGAACTTCGTTTCACCAGCAACACCTGGAGCTCAGGCATGCGTTCAGTTGAAGAAATCCAATACAGAGCCTGGTATATATCGTGGAGCCCCGAATACTCTGCGTAGCGAGACCCCCGAATACTCTGCGTAGCGTGACTTGGTTGAGGGGCGGATATAAAAAGTCCATGGATTCAAAGTATCTCAACCAGATCCATGTTCACCAAGAGCTAGTCATGTCCAATCGTGGACTGGGGATTCCAGTTCAAACCTCACGATCAGTGAGCAATTCTCCTCGAATCTTCACAATCGATTTGAGTGAGTTCATATCGAGAGAAAGACCGATGCAACAAGTGATTCCTACGGTCCTCTCGGGATGTCAATGTTGTTCATTTGCGGCCAAACTGTTGGTGTTCGACCAATTTACGAACGTTGCTTTGCCCAACCAACGATGACGTTCTCACAGGAAGAAGTCTCCAAAGACCGAATATCTTGGGGTCACTATCAATGTGATCGGCAGAGGAAAAGCCTCAGGTCCTAGTTCCGACGAGTCAGAGACAGATCGTTCTCCAAGCGTCAGAGAAATCGCTAACGAGTTTGAAGGAATCTACCAACGCACTCGGACGCGAACAGGAACCATTCTCCCTGTCAACTATCGGAGGTTAGCCAGAGGAACTAATTCCGATGATGAACACTCAGCCATTGCGGAGTCTCAATCATCAAGCTCTTTCATTGGGCATGAGAGCTTCACCCACATGACAGAAAGCCATGAAGATCTCGCGAAGAGGGTTGCTGAGCAAGACGCCATACTCAAATTATAGCAGAAGACCCTCAATGAACTCCTAGACCTGTTGACTCAACTCGTCGCAGACAAGGCTAAATCTCAGAAGACAGATTCGCCACCTAGGCAAGAATCCTCCCGGAGAGGGCAAGAATCTTCCCAGAGAGGAAAAACGTCTTCATCCCGACCTCACACAAGCAAAGGGAAGGGAAAGGTGGTTGATGACACGACTTCTGACCAAGAAGCCCACAACCTGGAATCTTCCTCTGATGAAGGAAGAGAGATGGAGAACGAACATAATCTCCAATCTGTCAAAATGGAAGAATTTGAAGCCCACGTCAATGCCATTGCTAACAGAAGTGAGCTCCAAGACGAGGGAGTTATCAGGCCCTATCCTGCCGAATGGGATGCAGCCCCTTATCCTCCAAAATTCGAAGTCCCGACGCTACAAACTTTTGACGGCACGGGATCACCGAACCAACATATCTATCATTTCAAACGACGCCATACTGGCTCGATTATTCATTGGCACCCTCAAGGGAGTTGCCTTTGAATGGTTCAGAAAACTTCCTGCCGGATGTATCCAAAAGTGGGCAGATCTAGAGAGACTCTTCATGTCGAGATTCTTTGAAGATGATACAGACGTCTCCATCCATACCCTTCTCGCCACTAAGCAGAAGAAGAGGGAGTCAGTCAAAGCCTTCGTCAAGAGG